TCCTTGAGCCATGGTGGTCGTACGAGGCTCCCCCACAGCCCTCCGGCTGAGGGATAATGGAGAGGGGGATCAGCCCTGCTGTCACCCCCCCCAGGTGTCACACACCCCCCCCCGTTCAGCTGGCGGCCCCGGGGGAAGGACCCCCCCGCAGCCACCCCCGGCATATGAAGCCCCCTGCCATGCTGGGTGTCCCCCGGAGCGGAGACCCCTGGAGCCGGTGGCTCTAGGCTGGGGGGTCACCAGCTCCCCCCGGGGACAGGTTCCCCACTGCCAGCGCAGGCCAGTGTTTGGGGCAACAGGTGCTGGGGGGCTGCACCAATAACCACCTGCTTTTTTCTTTCTTTCCCTCTTTCCCCTACAATTTCCCAATTATTTGGGAAATTAATATATATATATATATATATCATCGATCTATATACTTCCCCCTGCAGTTCCTCTCCTCCTGCCTTCGGGGGGAAGCGGGGCTGTTTCCAGGCGCTCACCGAAAAGCAGCTCTTACCGGGAGCCTGAGCCTGTAACAACCCCTTCAGGAGAAACTCGTGCCCCCGCCCCAAGCCCCCCAGGCGCTGCCATCCTCCATCCCCAGCCCCTTTCCCCCAGCAGCCTTGTACCGCCGTGCCCCCAGGCAGCGACCGGCCCTGGGGGGGGTTTCCAGCCGGTCCCGGTCGCCTGCCTCCCCCCTTGCCATCTCGGCGGCAGGAGATGCTGTGCCCTCTCTCAGCCCTTCCCCGGGGGCAGAGCAGGTTGGAAATTCCCCATCTGAGCTTGTTTGGGGTCTTTCCACCTCTCCCAGTTGCGGTTTGGGAGTTTCGGGGGCCGAGGTTGTCCTTTCTGGCCCGGGGGGGACCAGGGGCACTGGCGAGGCAGCGATGCCCGCGGCAGCGCACCCGGGTACCGCTCTGCCCCCCCCCGGCTCCCCGGGGCTGAGCCCGCCCAGTACGGTGGGAAACGAGTCTGGGAGCCCCGCCCCGCCAGCGTGGGGCACGAGGGGGGGCACGACACATGCCCACAGGTGACCCCTCTGGGAAACGGGGTCCGGCATCGGGAGGTACCGTCCCCCCCCGGGGCGTCGGGATGCTGCGGGGCCGGCGGGACCAGGCAGGCGGTGGAAAAGCTCCAGAGCAAAAAGCCGGTTCGCACCTGCGGCTCCCGCTCTCCCAGCTGGGCACAGGGCACCCCGGCACCACGATCCCGCGGGGGGAGCCGTGGCAGGGACCGGGCTGCGGCTGGGAACCGGGACACGGCGTCCTGCCACCTCCTCTGCCTGCTCTGAGGGTGGGCAGCGGTCGTGCCTCAGTTTCCCTGCCCCTCCGCAGTGCCGGACAGGGAGGCAGCCAGCACTGCCCCCTGCCCGGCTAGGAGGAAGAGGAAGGAAGAGGCTGTGCTTCCTCCGCTCTCTATTTTGGGCTGACCTGTGCTGCTCCTTTAGCCCAGGTGGAGCCGGGCAGGATGCCTGCCTCGTCCCCAGCGGGCTGGCGGGCCTGGGCTGGGCTGCCAGTGGCTGCCAGGGGATGCTGCCCACCGTGGGGACAGCCGTGGAGGCCACACGCTGTCCCCACCAGGACCCCTGTCCCTCTGGTCGAATCCTTCTCTTCCTTCCATGACGAGCCATGAGCAGGCAGCAGCCCCAGCTCAGCCAGGCCCTGCTTGTCCTCTAATTAATGTAATTAGGAAAGTCTCCAGGCCAGACGCCTGCAGCGGCAGTTGGAGCATCGCTTCCAGCTTTGCTGCCTGCTCAGGGGCAGATGGGGCAGCTGGGGAGCCCGGGGGGACGTTGTCCCCGTCTTGGGGTTGTGGGACAAGCTAGGGACACGGGGCTTGTGGGATGAGGGGCCTCATCCTGCACCCCCAGGCCAGGCCAGGAGCAGGCAGACCCCAGCTGGATGTATGGGCTGCAGCTTGTAGGTGCAGGGCAGAAAGGCAGCCCTGCCTCCGGGACCCCTCTGTGCCACCCCAATGCCCCCAGGTTGGGGTCCCAGTTATGCTGTCCCCTGTTCCCCCAGCTACCATGGCCCGGGGAGCTCTGCCCCACGGAGTGCTGCCCCACAGCCAGGACCTCGGGCTGGGCACCTCCTGCTAAAAGCTGGGCCCACGCAGGTGCCCCCGGTCCGGGGATACCCTGGGGAAGGGGTCCCGGCCACAGAAGGGTGATGCCCGCAGGCACAGCCCTAGGGACCCCTGCCCCCGCGACGAGCCGTGGGGCTGATCCCTGCACCCCCCAGCCCCGACCCCCGGGTGGGGGTGCCCCTTGCAGCCACCGTGGGGTGGGGGTGGGGGTGGTCCCTGCTTCGCCTCCCCACGGCCGGTGGCGGCCCCGGCGACGGGGGTCGGCTGCGCCCCTTGGGGGGGGACGGACACGACGACCCCGCCTTTCGGTGGGCCCCACCGCTCTGGCTCCTCCTTCAAGCAGCCCGAAGCCCGGCCAAAGCGGGGGCGGGGGGGGGAGGCACCTCCCCACCCCGATCGGCATCGCCCTTTTAAGGAAGGGGAAATTCTTCACATAAACAAGCGCGGCCCCCGGGAGCGGGGGGG